GGTGTTTGACAGTTTAATTTTTCAGTAAGTTTTGTATAAGGAATAAGAGATCTTGAGACCTTCTACGAGAAATTACTTCGTCTGTCAATTATCGTAGAACCATTTTCTTGTCGCTAAACTTTAAATTATAGCGGTGAAAAAATGTATGTGACAGTATTGTACAACAGGCGTAAAAAAACTTGTTTAATGGTGACTTTGGAAGTACAATGCGACATTATAATGCCTAATTTCCACCTACACGCCGACTGATGGAAACACGACCCAACTCTCTCGTTAAAATATGTAGTTTGGACATGTACTGTACTGATGTACCTATAATGCATGAAATTGATGCTGTCCATACTTCTATAGCATTGAATTGGAATGAACAGTGGACTTCATCATCTTTATAGTCCGTTTCAGGATAGAGGTTGTCTGATCTTTTCAACCCCCATAACTACAAGATTTTCCAATATACAATTTCGTTTTAAAATCCAGTATAAACTGACTGTTGAATCTACGGAAATGTTATAAAAGGTGGGACCATTATAATGTGGACATTTCTTATTACTTAGTGATCGGTTTAATTGAAAACAATTATTTAATTGGAATATACTATGTATTAACTCTACCTTGCCGCACATACATTATTTTAATCGATACTGGGTTTTTGCTTCATACATCTTTAGGTATTCTCCTTAAGTTAGTAACATATTCAAGAATGAGAAATATTCTATTATTAAACCTTTCCAAAATCACCATTAAACGAGGTAGCTTTCACGCTTGTTAGAGGTACAAAACTGCCAAATACATTGTTGTAAGTTGAAGTTGAGCGACAAGAAAATGGTTCTACGAAAATTGACACAAAAAGTAGTTTTTCCTAGAAGCTCTCTTATACCTGATATAAAAAGAACTTACCATTGAATAGAATATTTATCCATGAATAATTTCATGTACAATACTTACTAAAAAAAGAATTTTCAACTGAGATATGCTAAAAGGTGTGTGTCAAGGTAGTGATTTTTCGATATTTACGAAAATGTGATATAATTTTGAAACCATACAATTTCGCTGAACATATATTGAGATGTTTAGGTAAGTATTGATCTCAGCTATCTTCCCTCACAGTATGGTGCACTATTTACGGGGCACCCTATACAGTAAAGTGTTAGTTGATCATGAACAAACTTCTTTCGTCATTAGTTGGTTTGTTCGATCTATGATTGAACAATTATTGCTATATTTAGATAGACATACTCGAATTTTTCAGTGCTTGTTGAAGATTCGCTGTGGTGTAAAGCTCGTTCGCATTCTCGCTCCAATGGTCGAAATTATTCTAAGGTCGTGATCGAGCTGAACTTTGAGAGTTCTTCTAGAATCGCCTAGCTGAACAAACATGCACGCGTAACCCTGTAGCAACACCTTAAGCCTACACCTAACCTTCATATTCCACTAGGAATTGAGTGTTGTTGCTTTTTGTAAATAGTTTCTAGCGGTGAAAGGTAGACTGAAAATTCACACAAAAGTAAATGTATAGCATTCTTATGTGACCAGCAGTTTTAAAAGATAATTTCCAAATTAAAAAATATATTGACTGATTTTGGATTTGATGTACCCGTAACCTACCTTTTATTAACTGTTTTTGACTCTGAAGTCCTCATACGTAAGACGGAGTCCCGTGTTGACATGGCATGGTAACAAAACCAACAAAACGTGTCTTTGTCTAACTTTTTGGACAATAACATGACAATGTTTATAAAAATCTTCTAAGTGCTTGTATATGCTTCCACAATACCAAGGCAAACACAAATCCATAACCGTCATTCTAATATCCATCAGGGTAGTATTCGAGGGTCGACAGGTATAGTATTGATGGGGTAGGCGGAGGCAGATAACCTATCAAATGCATTCGCGATCAAACTTGTCAGTATCGTATGCCTCTTGGTGATCGGGATAAATCGACGCATTGCTGAACGCGATCTATCGGTCTATCTATCTATATCAGCCGGGTAACTGTTCCACTGGTGGTCGAAGGCCACGCTCGCAGGCTCTTCTCATATGACGTTGAACGTTAACCGATCAAAATAGATATACATCCTTGCATAATTTCCCAAGTGGCTAAATATTTGCAGGATCTTAAAGAATAGGATACTATTAAATTGAAACTGACGAAGTCCCGATAGATTTCTTGATTCCGAAAGCAACGGATCCCATGTGTGCAAAAATTGTGCATTGTCAACGTTCGCAAACTACGTGTTTTGTCAGTTACTGTGGAATATAACTTTAATTTGTTTTGGTACTTTTAAAAACAATTTTAAAAGAATAAAAGTAGAGTACAATAAGTACATATTGTAACGTAATCATACATAAATAATGGGGCAGAATAGTAGAATCGATTTTTCGCAGAAAATGCAAGTTTCAAGGACAAACAATTAAACAAACTTTTGTAGATACATACTAGCACAATCTACAACTTCAAACGATACTTACAATTATTATAAAACTCACCGTTTCATTTAACCTGGCAGTTGCTTTGCTTTGATATTATAAATTGAACCGGACTAAGCACAATTCAGTTTAATGATTATGCTACCCGTAACAATAATGCACATTTCAGTTACTTCGGAATTATGCTTGTATATCCCTAACTTGGCGAAGCTACGCAGTGTATTTCATCTCTTTATATGACAATCAGTGTCAAAATCCGACTAGGTAGATCGCTGCTAATTGAACAGCGTGTGTCTGATATCTAAGCTTTGCTGTCAAACATTGTAGTGCACGCTCTGCGCTATTACGTAATTCAGAAATTCATTTTACATCAAACTTTGCGTCCGTAATACAAATTTCATCTATTCGAAACGCACTAGGGAATTTACGGGTACACATGACCTATACAAAACTAGTGTATCATGGTCTAGCCTTGTACGATCTTTCCTCGCATTCGACGACCAGTTTATGCTGGTGTTGTGTACCTTGCACTGTAACCGTGTGTACGTCAAAGTAGGTTATACAAATGAGATTTCAGCATAGGTAAGATCATGGCGGATGCGTTTGGCTCTGCTTGCATGCATTTTGAGTTGTTTATTTAGGACATACGTTGTACATTTCATGGTTTAAGTCACTTTAAGTCGTTGGTTGTTGAATATGAGTATCGATTTGTTAATGACTACCCCGTAGTACGTAGCTACTCTTAAAAACATGATTTTACTTTTAAAGCGGTCTTATATAATAATGGACCATTTAAAATACGTTAGAAAATAAGTACTTACAAGTACTTGTTTAATAGCTTTTTTGAGGAGGGAAAATAACCCAATGACTTCTACCGCCCGGGTGAGATGAGAGGGAGTGGCAGACTCCTACTGACTAAAAACCACCCCGTTCCTACTAAACCTACAACTCTTTAATTCCTTACGCGACGCGCCGCACGCTCACGCAGGGCACACCGTCACCGTAATGTCCACCGTGTCCTCCGGACGCAGTGATTTGTTCAATAGCTAGGACGATAGTTTAATCTATAATTGTAAAAATAAAAAGCAGTAATAAAAAATATATTTGAATTGTTTCGTGGAATTGAAATACCTTTTTAGAGTAAAAATATATAGGTACCTAATATCACTGTCAGAGAACTCCTCATGTTAACCTGAACTCGCCGCAGATTTTTTTATTTTTATTTAAACAAAGGGTCAATTCTAGGTAAACAGAATCGAGTGAAAATTCCCGTAAGTGCCTCTTAAATGAATTGTAATTTCTCTTTATATACTTATATATTAGGATAGGTATTTGCTGAAGCGATTATTAAAAGTTAGTTAAATAAAGATATTTCTAAAATGTTTTATCCATTTCATATCTTATACAATTTTGCAAAAAATGTATAAGTACTATTGGCAGAGTTGTGAAAATTAATTGGAAAAAAAGGGTTTATCATTCAATTTGGTAAAGGTTTTTGTTTCTGCTCTGCTTTGCTGGCTAAGGTCTAATCCTCATCCAGGACCTCGTTTATCCCTTATGTTGTACGTAACATGGATACGTCATATTACCTGAACCCTATACATCAAGAGATAGAAGTATCTAGAAATCTTTTTATGCTATTTTAAATTACTAAGCCATCAGAAATTATGCGAAAAACAAATTTACTCATGTTTTTCTGCGATAAAAGTAGGCTATGTGTTAACCTCTATCTATAACCTTTGTGCCTCTTTTCGTCCAATTATTCAGACAAAATCCAATCGATCCAAACTTTTGCTATAATAGCAAGTATGATTGGTTGGTATTATTAAGCTATATTTATCTTGCCTACAACTAAATCAATTTTGCGAATCATGTTTTCTATTTTGTATACAATTGACTAATATAGTAACGTTTTTACAGCAAATGAATCGAATAAATAACTAGCTAACAAGTTAGGGTCATTTTAGTTAGGTAGCTTATTATCGTTATCTTAACTGCCAAAATTGTTTACTGGAAATTCCTCCCACACAAATACCATAATTATTTCTTCTCCCTTATTTATTTTATGTCGTTCTATTCATAGTTTATTTATATAGGTACTATAGCTTCGGCTAGCGGCTTTACCCGCGGTCTCGTGGCATTAAAAGTAGTCTATGTGCTATTTATTGCCTACCATAATCTACTCCTGTATATTTTTTTTTTCTGTTATGACAACCTTCTCCTAACAACAAAAAAAAGTAGTGAAATCGGTCCAATCGTTCACGCGTGATAGCATGATCAAGGGATGTAGGGATTCATTTTAATATACAAATGTACATTTTTTTTTTATATCACAAAACGATACCTGTTCCAAGCGGACGCCAATACAAATGTTCGTGATGTTAAGGTTTTCTACGTTTATCGCGCTAGCGGTACCTACAAGCATCAAATTAACTTCTATAAACATACAGGACGATATGTTTGGAAATGAAAATACATAGAAATATTAGTTTATGTAAAAATATTAACACGTCAAAGTTTCCAAAAAATTATTCAAAGAGGTGTTATATATAAAATTGTTTTGTCCGTAGATAATGGGGTCCTGCTGCAGTAAAGAGCCGGGTCCTGTGGAACCCTACGTTCCATCTCCAGCCCCGGTGCCTTCAACCACTCGCGGTATAACTGAGACCCGTGTGATGGCTCCTAAGTTGGTTGTCGATCCAAGAATCGTCGATGAACTGATTATGGAGCTACTTGCGTTGATCGCTTCTTTCGTCGACAAGTAAGTGGTTAATATATTAATTTTATATCTAGGTGGAAGTTGGAGTAGATTATTTTCATTAAATACTTTTATCGTGTAATTTTATAATACCTGTAAAATACTACATACTTCGGCCACAGCCTTGAGAGCTCCATACGGACACACCACCAGTTGAATACACTTAGCTAGCCATACGGTGTGATTGACTTAGGCCTGGCGCTCACTGCGGCGCGGTACGGCGTTTTTATTACTGATCAAGTTATTTTGAATCTTATTTCATTGAGTTTAGATTTCATGTTCCTTTATTTCGCTAGTACGGTATGCCGTTTTGTTTCACGGGTTGCTGCAGTCAACCATTGCATATATATTATGTCACTTTGTGTCAAAGAATTATGCTTGGTAAGTAGTGAAATAAGGTTGTAACTTGTGCAGCGGTCATGGAAAAGTGGCGGCTGGCTGAGCTTTCAGCAGAATGCCGTGATTCACTGCGGCGTGTCATGCCGGCAGTGAGCGCAGGCTCTTATACTCCAATCGTAATGTGTCACAAGTTCCGCTCAGAACCTTTTCCTCTGAAGACGTTCGTCAGATTTTAGATTTTAAACCGTCATTTGATATCTAGCACGATCGACCCGTCTGGCTTTATTTATAAGTCACAAATTACCTAATAAATTGTTTCAAAAGTTAGCTTCCATTTTGCCTAAAAATATGACCAATTCGGAATGATCAGAATAGTTCTCATTCTGAATATCGAAATTACCTAATAACGTAAACACTTGACAGTACAGTAGCTATATAGACCCAGTCACCGCTAGTTATCTCATTAGAGCCATTGTATTCGGGGAGGTCATAGAAATCAAATAATATTTTTCGTCAAGGACTACTCGTTCAATGTTCAATAAAGATAAATAATGTTACCTAGTCTTATAAAATTAAAAATAATGGTATACTTAACTTACTTGGACTGCGAGTCTTATAAAGAAGCCCCGTTGGTAATTGAAGGTCCGTGGTACCATGGAAATACCACTCCATGGGAAATATGAGTGTGTAAATTTGATTTTACTAAAATGATACTCGAATTTTCATTCGTGCGAGAGGGGCTGGAAAAAGATCATATTACTCTGCAATTTCTCACAAGCAATATATATTAAAATGTTTTTCTTTAACCCTTGGTTTGCCGTGATGCTATTATTTCTCATCCAATTTACATTATGAACAATCTGCGCATCACATATGAGCTCTATGAAGGTATTTTCTCTGGGAAAATGAACGCAATATTATGTTACAAACGTAGTTTAGAAATTTCATCCGGCGTAGTTTATTATAAGGCCCCTTGGAGGAGGCTTTTAATTATATACTAATTTTGTGATCTTCACGGTTTTTAAAGAAATAGTAAAGATTTAATTTAAAGTAACTAAGTTTTAACTATTGGATTCCATGGGTGATGGTAGGTTGTACTACAAGGACCCATTTAAGGTCAAAAATAAACGATCTCAGTCCAAAATCTTTGAATCAGAATTGATTTGTCATGGAGTTTCTGTCAAAACACGATTTTGCAATAAGATCGGTCAGCAAACGTGTCTGATGCATTTCTTTCATAATTTAAATTTGAATAGAACTATTGCAACTTGTATTATATGGTTGCTTTTTATATGTAATCATAGGGCTCACGTATTTCGGTAGTATTTTTTAACATTCGGTATCACGGTATCGGTATCACGCCGGTTTTCTGTAAGACCGTGGTATTACTCCGGGCAAAGTGCCGAAGCATGGCACACACACTTAAAAACGCCCTTTCAAAAATAAAGATAAAAAGACCCTGATGCGCTTAAGTAGCGGGGAAACGACTCCTGCGTCCTTAACTCTTTATTATATTTAATGCGGAAACCTCGTCTATGTTCGAGAATTTCCAGTTCATGCTGCACGTGTAAAACTTTTATAATACGACCTAAAGAGTCTCTTACCTTCGAGTGAATATTGTTTGTCATGTGGGTTTTCGTTGAAAATGTATCTTAAATAATTATCCCCTTTGAATGATATAATTTGTCAGGTGTTTTTAAAAAATACGTTGCATGCGTGATACTGATAAATATTTCGTTCTGGGATTTTCATTATACATCGTCCTTCTACCAATAATGGCAAATGTCACATCGATAAAACAATAATAAAGTGTGTAAAACTAAGTGACCTGACCTGGTTTCGCACAAATATTATCCCGAAGTTTATTGTAAAATGAACTTTTCCTGGAAATAGCGGACACAATGATAATTAATTATCCATTCTGTTGATTTCGTTCCGAATTGCAGCTCACATACGTTTTATATATACGTATGGATTTCATCGAATACTTTTGTGTTCCCGTAATAAATATCAGAGATTGCATAAATTCAGATATGCGTGGCGTAATTGGAGTTCATACGAAATACGAATATATTTTCAAAGAACAATTTAAATAACGAAAGTTATATCGACGCAAGTGGCAACATCGTGCTATTATAGGGGTAGCTACAAGGATGTATCATATCAGAATCTCTTTGTTGCGTCAATATTGTACCTTTAACACACGTGACTATAATATATGCAAACAATAATTAGTGCGAGTTATTACGCTTTTTAAACTGTCAAACACCAAGCGGTCACCGGTGACCGCGACCTATTGTTCTTTAATTGTGTCTATAAAACCGGTACTCGACGAGTTTGTAATCGTGTTGTGAACCAAGATAAGACTAAGTAAAATTAGTGCTTGGGAAAATATGGAAAAGTCCGCGATATCATAATACATATGTCCAATATGTCGCAGTAACTGCTTTTTAACCTTAGAACGTGTAATACTTGTAACGTCGTGCCGCGGCAGAAACCAGGCCACATTATTAGTAACAGTAATATTTTGTATATTTCTAGAATCAAAACAGGTGTATACTTACAGTAGAAATAAAAAGTCATCAAGTGTAGGTAAATAGCGTAGCGATGTTCGTTGTAAGGTTTCCTTTTCGTAAATCATCGCTTTAGTTTTAAGTTTAAGATCGCAAATCTTACGGATCTATGAATTGTATGTAGGGCACTAAGATTTTTGTACGTTTTTTTAAATGTTAGTGATTCCATACTGAGCAACAACAGGGCTGTTGTTGTTCTAATTGGCCTTTGTTCTGAACATATGCCTTGCGAAAAGATTTATAGCTATCCATACTTTCTAATCAAGGCACTCTTTTTAGTAAACACCGCGCAAAATGAGACAGATTTATGTAAATAGAAAATGTAAAAAATAAATAAATACTTATTTCAAGGCATAAAAGTATAACATATATAATTAAGTTGCCATTTAGACTTGACAATAAAAATATGTTTAGTAGTGTTAGCCATAGTTCTGAATCGTTGATCCTGCTTAAAAAATCACTGCTCCTTTACGCAAAAATGAAAATGATTAGAAAATAAATGTATTTCATAACGAGCAGAGGTATAGTGTGCAAGCAACAATTCTGGTGGCTGGTACTTGTATCCTTGGGCCCTTTCCCGCAGGGTTTCCAATATACAAACCGATTCTCGATAACTTGTCGGTCCCGTAAACTGTGTGCTGCCCACAAGCAAGGCCATTTTAGTTAGCCACTTCGAGCTATCCTCTCGGCTGTGGCTACCTCCATGCTTCCTAGTATCTGCTTGTTCTTGATTTAATTGTATTAGTGAACTACATAGTCACTGGACCTTCAGCAACTAGTATTGAATATTATAAGACACTGTAGTAACTCGGGTGGTCGGTCCGATATTGCATTTCCGCTGCACTAGCCACTTTAACTACCGAACTTGTTACTCCAGGATATTATCTAGATAGTTAGTCTTTGTCTTGATCCTATAAATTTCAAAGCAAAACCCACTCTCTCTGTAGATAGGTAATATAGGGGAGTTTGACGTAATATTCAACGTGACTGGCTGCGTTCATTTAGATTACTAAACCTTCTCACATTAACTACACGTTTCTAGAAAGTATCAAAAATCTTACGTTTACATAAATAGATAAATGGTTTATTTGCTTCTTTATGGGTTTTCTGAATTATAGATAATCAGGTGCCTATTTTTCTTGAAATGTTATTCCAATAAGGCAGACCTATTATATCGCATTACGTTGTCAATTGAGGCTCAAGACTACTTAGGCATTACCTATGTATTCCCCATAATGAGAAAACTTACAAGATACTTTGACCAAAATGTAATTACCCATATACCTTACATAGCTTTTTAAAAGCTTATTATTATATGAAAATACAAGGTGTATCGATTATAAATGTATCAGTGGAAAAACTAAAACTAAAGAAAAGAACAACTGAAGTTACGAGGAAAACCTATATGCAGCATTTCATTAATAAATTCAATCGGCTACCGTTTAAATGATTGAATAGACTCGTATCGATCAGAAGGCACTCGCAAACAATCAACATCAAAGTGGTTATATTTGTCTTGTTTTGAAATTCAAGAAAATAATTGTTATGGAGGATATGTGATACAAGATATCATAACAACATTTACAGCTTGAGGCGATGGTAAATGTGGATTTTCGTGGAACGACGGCCACAAAAATATGTGATATTCGAAAATATTTTCTTAGAGACGACGGTGTAGGTAGCGGGCGAAAGGTCTTTCGGATTAAACACTCGTGGGTGGCTGTCATTAATAAATATTTATACGCGTTTGTGTAAATTAATATTCGATAAATCACTGTCTCGGTTTAGTGGTTATGTGAACAACCGTGGATCTCAATTCTTCCTTTAAATCGGCCTTTTCAAAAAGTAACAAATATCATTAAGGGGTTAACGGCTATTTCAAGAAGAGCGCCCAATTAGATGTACTTACGGCAGTCATTACGCGTACTCAGAGCCCCAGAAACGCAAAAACCCACAATTGCCCAGGGTTGTATAGTATTTTGTTTCTATTTTTCAGTAACAATAAAACGAATGTCTGTTCATACTCGATGTACCTATGACAAAAGCCTCGCCCTTCTTCGGTACATAGGGCAAGTGGGCGTACTGTTACTACCTGTTTACCTCCTCAAACAATATGAGGGGTGGGATACGTTATTCATGGAACTTATTTATAATAATTTAATACGTTTAAACATTTCATCATGGTCTCGCCATTTGTAACCGACGGCTACTGACCACCGCCAACGTTCACCGCCAACCGCACGACATGTATAAAATAGGTTCGGGTTTTGTAAAATAAATTTACACTTGATACTGAAATCATAATTATATTTCGTGGTATGCTTTAATCTTAAGTAATATTAGCTCCACATTGTATAGACGTGTATTCGAATATGATGAACACCGGTATCTACGCCCCAAGTATTATACACAGTACACAAGACACACGTGTCCAGTAAAAATGGAACGCTTTTTATCTATATTATGTTTGTCGAGCAACATACATACATATTCACTTACACCAATGGGTTGGTATGCAAAATAGGTTAGTATGTGTGTTTGATTGAAATATACTGAGTGAATAATGGAATAAGGATTAACGGAATCAGCGCAATGGACGTCCTCGATGGTCGTTTTATGTCCATATCACCATGTACGTACATACCTAATTATTATACTTTACGAATATGGCCACATTTATATTCCAAGTACAATATTTCAGTCTTTATTTTGTGGAAACTTATCAACTGCCACGTTAAGTCGTTACTGCCTGGTGGTGCTTTTTGGTTATATCCCAATTAGTACATATTTTCATTTGGTTTATAATAATAATTGCAAAGGAGACGTGTTAGCGAAACACTTTTGAGATGGAAATGGTCCTGATAAAAATGGTAAATAAATAAGTTGTACAAAGAGCGAGAGTTCGATCAAGGACAAAACGCTTCCGTGAGCGAGAGAAATGTATATTCTTAAATGGAAAACAGCAAAACAAAAGCAAAGAAATGCATTTTCAAGTAACGATATTTACATAGAATCTGTGGTAGGAAAATTGCATTTTCTTTGTGTTGCAATAGCACTAACAAAACAGAGCTTTAAAAAATGTTTCCTGTAAAATCAAAGAGCTTTGGCACAGAACGGGCTCAAATAGAGGGGTAATTGAATTTCTGCTTCTTTGTATACCTTTCATTGTTTCTGAACTTATTGTTTATGAACTTGAGTAGTTTTCAAGGTTAGATGAAAGGGTAGAGAAACACATCAAGTCTAGATAATAAGGTTTAAAAGCACTGTGAAACATAATGCTTGTTTATGAAATAATAGGAGTAAATGAAGGGCGTCTGTCCATTTAGCAGTCTGTCACCGAGTCTCCTAACAATAGGGCATTGAAAGAATGTTAAGCTGAATAGCACACGGTACATTAGGACTAAGAGCTTTTTGAAAAGTTCTGTATAAATAAAGTCTCCCTTGAAACGGTTTCGACGAGTTTGAACTTCATAGTAATTTGTGTTTCTGTGAAGCTTTTGTAAAATTTCATGGTCGCTAACTCGTGAGTCCTAGTTATCACTCGAGTATGTTTTTTTAAACTACGTCCAATGTCCTTTAACTCGGAGTAAAAGTATATTCCCTTGTTTGTAACGTAATAAAACTTGTATGTTTTTTTTATTTTCTCTCGAAACTAATTACGAGCATCCTTCGGAAGTTGTATCGATATATGATACAGTCTCAGTGGTAATTAGTTCTCGTATATGAGGAGCTATGCTATACTTATAAACAGTATTTATTAGCAGATAATTTTACAAAGCTTTGTGAGAAATATCTGCTAATTAATAAATACTATAGAAAATGATTATCTATATGTTTTGCTAGGGACGGGGGACTATCGTGACGGATTAAGAGTTGAAACGATTTAAACTGATTTAGTGAAGGTGAAGATGCGTGCTAGATAAGATACATGCTTCTCAATCATGCAGGGGGTGCGGGTTCGAAACCAATGTGGCTTTTTCAAAGTGCACGAACTTTCCAAATTTGTTTAGGCGCTAAGTACTGACTAAAGAACACAAGATCGTGAGAAAATTTTGACTTATAATTTCAGATTTTAGGTTTGATCCTTAATCTGTATTATGCAAGCGTTACGTGCCGTGACGTGCCTTACTCAGGTTTTTCTCCTGTGTTTGTGCGTTTACAAGTACATAATTTTACACATATATGTCGCACTCGAACCTGGAATTGTTGCATTCGCGAATCGAACCTGCGATATGTTGCCCATTAGCGACCATTTCTGTTTCAAGCGTACCGTCATTATTTTCTGGCAGCTAGAGTCTTTCAGTATCGCCGCGTGCGACGAACGATCAGTGAGCACGCATACTCCTTGCTTGCAGGATTGCAACCAATTCGCGCGGTCGTACGAAGTCAGCCTTCGTTTCACTTACGTACTCATGTGGTCTGAAGCTGTACTGGTGTGGTGGTCTCTGTTTTCCCTGAAACGTTGATAAACAACTTCCAAGAATTCATCGAGGCTGCGCTGCGTTGTATTGATCGCTCCTGGAAACATGACACTGTTGTTGTGTTTACCTTTACCTGGAACAGTGTAGCCAATGCGAACAATAATATTCAGTTTCAAAGTAATGATGCGCTTCCCTGCAAATCCGTAGATAGTATAATTATGTTGATGCTATACATATCTGTAAGATCAAAATTGTTATAGATGACGGCTTAGTGGTTAGATTACATAATCAGTGTTAGGAAATGCATTGTCAACACATATCGCGTCAATCGACTGGAAATGCGCAACAATTGGACGGAAACAGTTGTAGTCCGATCTGTATTACATTTGAATCTACTAGTGACGCGACTGTCCGTCGATTAAACAGTTGCAGAAAGAGCCTCATGATCACTCGCTCCTTCCAAGGTTATCCACATTAAGCCTATTTGATCGCATAAAAACTTATGTTACGAAGCAATCTGGATAACGCTTACTCGAGTGTTCTGTAACAACCGTTTGGAGCTATTCTGGCTTAAGTTGATGGCGGTTGCTCGCGCGTTCTTGGGCGGCTGTTCGCAGCAGTCAGAGTTTGCACTTGGTAAAATGCGGCGCGGAGGTTAAGCCGCCCTCATGCATACAGGTTCGGGTTCGAACCTGACAAGTACCAATGTGAATTTTTCATAGTCATATGTACTTTCTAAGATTATTTAGACCCCACTGACATTTGACATACGGCGAAGAAGAACATTATAAGCAAAGTTATTTTTAAAAAGGGGAAAGACAAATTCTCCTATCTTGGCTGAGACGAGAGGCAGTGTCAGAGTCTAACTAAAAACCACCGCTTTCTTACCTCTGATTCGATCCGGAGCCCCGGCCACCCGTTCAGATCGAGCAGAAGCCTTAGGTACTGGTAGTGTGTTCTACTTCAGTAGTGCTCTGATGGTTTTTTGAGTAGCGGCGCTCAGGTCTAGTTCTGGTTGGGCGACTACCATTTCGGTCCGCAGACCCGTGCTTACGGTGGTCGGAGATCGTCTTGCGATCTCCGACGCCCGGAGTGCCTCTCGCAACAATTGGGGCGTGAGGATGTTCATTCCCTCACATACCTCATTCGCGGGCTTATGTACAGGCCGAAGCCAAAACGTGCTGTAGCCGTGGTATGTCCGTTCCGACACGGAACGCTATGTCCAGCGTTTAGTGATACATATAGATATACTTTTAGTGTACATTGTTGTAAAAACAAATATGAAAACTCCAAACAACCTAATGTTCACTTAAATATTTTATCCGTCATAGTTATAGTGGACATCCATATTATATTCGTCGTAACTAAGTTCAAAGTTGCGTTGATTCGTGTTATAAACTTCGCCTGAGAATTTGCCCGAGTGTTGATATGTATGACATTTGCTAGCGAGTCTCGCATAAGCTGACCAAGGCATAATTCGAAACGTGTCAGTGTCGGGTCTCATGTAGGAATGTTGTAACATAGTTGTATGCTTCGCAACAATTAAACTGCGGTTTCAGAAGTCGCTTAGATTTGGGTATGATTCTCGGGTTGGACAAAGTATTGTAGCTTGTCGGTGTCACAAGCATTATATATCTAGTAGGTTCACACCGTTATAAATAGATGAGACTCCTTAAATGTGGGATTCTATTACGTTTATTTATTTGATGCAGTGGGTGTGTGACCGAATGCTGTGCGAGGTATGACGACGTTGGTAGGATTCGATTCCCGCACGGAACTGTTTTTGTGTACTGTGGCTAAACTGAATCCACGAATACCATAGGTACTTGAATGCTGTAAACGTGTATTTGTTACAGTGAAGAGGAATCCCCCGTCTCCTTGGTGAAGCTCCACGTCATTGCGGAGAAGGAAGAAGGATGGTTCCAAGTGGTGTCCTCAATGGTTAGGATAATACCACTAGATAATCCTTTGGGCCCATCGGCCATCACCATCGTCTTTGATGACTGCCCTCTGCCTTCCAAAGAGCAAGTTATCAAGGTAAGTTACGAAATACTTTTCCAGGAATTGCTTAAAATTAACTACGAAGTCCGAGTCTGACACTCCCTCCCGCCTCGCCCAGGCGGGAGCAGACATTCGATGAATTTCCCCCTTTAAAAAAAACTACGATAATGTGTTGTAAAATGTTGGGCATAATGCTCAGCTATATGTACTGAACGCTTATTGATTGCGTCCACCTACGTTTCACATAACTACCCGTCCTTCAAGTTGAATTTTCAAAGGGGAAACTACGAGAACGACAAATACGTGGAATAGGACATTTTAATTAAAACTAGAAACAAGCTTACAAAATGTTTAGTTGCAGTTTCTGGACTATGTTTCAAACGTTAGTGAAACACTCAGCGACAACTGCGCATAAACCTTTTTCCCGGACCATGTTATGTACTTCATTGAGAACTTTTGCTTGTGAAAACTTCCAATCCGATCCAAATAAAAAATAACAATACGTGCACTCGTGCTCTGTGCTCTAACACTAACTGGATTTCCAATTATAAAACTGTCAGTTTCCTGAAACAAAACTTTTCAATGTTTGAGAACCCAATTCCGGTCTCACTGAAATTAAAAATCAAAGGTGTGAATCGAAAATCGTGTTACGTGCTCCGTGCCTCTTTCAATACGATTTACAAAAATAAAATGACGATTGCATTGCATTTGACGTCCACGTGCAAGGTTCGCTATAGCGAGAGGAAATCGGTTTTATAAATGTCAATCCAGTAAAAAGGATATGGAGTGGTTTCATATTGGGTGTTCATCCAATTATGATTTTAAAATTGGGACAAGGTTGTGTTGCCTGTGCAGACAACATTCAGAAGATGCATTTTATGCTACAAATTGTAGGATAACAAAGGAATAGCTTCCCATTGTAAAAATGTCACAACGTGCTGGATGGAACTAGACGAATATCACAGTCCTCGATCTGCTAGATTTTGTGTAAGTTGTGGTGTATACATTATGTATTAATTTCAGCTTACTCAAATACTCGGCTTGTCTGCCATGCGCGCCCTCTCAGCCGAGATAGACGTGCAAGTAGAGCGCAACATATGTGTTGTGCTCGGGTGTATTGCTGACAAGTTGGCCGGCCCTAACAGCGTCGCCGTGCTGACCGAAGAAACCCTTGATTACATGTTATCATTCTTGGTAAGTGACACTTTTCAGGCTACCTAACTGCAGTTACTAATTATCTCCGTGCTTACCGAATAAACTATCCCTTCGTGATTATGCTGACACTGGTCAATGAGTAAAGTTTCGTTCGTATTGTCATTGAATTATAAGAAGTCAGTAAATGAATATTGTGTAATGTAATATCATTACAATAATATGGTTAGAATGTATTCCACCCACTGATCTGCAAATCCAAACTATGTTATTACATTAAATAATTAATAAATATCATCACTTTATAAGCTCGCTATTAGATGTACGTTCTGATATTATAACTAATTTAAGTGGGAGCGATCCAGTGGTCAAAATGTACATTAGCCGATTGCTGGAAATATTATACCTGATAAATCCGATGCATTAGCATAATTCTCGAGTAATAACATAGGTACATACATGGATTTCATCGGAGTATTATTGACATAACATTTCATCTAACCACTTTACTTGATGAGCGGTTGCTACTAATAAGCATTTTTTACAACAAACCTTTGAGATAATATGAGACTTGCGTAACTAGGATTCGACAATAGTATGACACGGTCAATCTTGTTCATAAACGTACTTTTCTTTGTCTTGTGTTTTGTGTCTTACGATTTTTGTTCAAGTAACTGAACCTGTCAAGCTGCGTGTACCTTCATCAAAAATAAAGTGACATCACTTTGATATATTTACAGAAAGATTAACAATATTCTCAATCGGAACGTATGCTTTAGATCGGGCTTCAAGTTAAATTTTTGACATCACATCAACATCCTTTATGTGGCCAATGCTGACTTATTTTGACATACCTACTGGGCTCCTAATTAATGACTTAAGGCCATTTGGACATGTAATAGCCATTTCTCAAATCTTTACTTGTGCTCTTTGGTGTCAATAATAGGTCGGTGAAAACAAAAATTACTTTAAGTGTCATCTATCTTCGCTTATGGGTTTCTTTTAAAAGAGGTGGTTGAAAACGGGTGTAAGAGTACAATATAAAAACCCTTTCTCAATTATTCGTCTCAGATAGTGTGATAGCGTTGTAATTTTGTATTTAATGGGTTGTGAAGTTCGGAACGCATCTGTTCTACATTGACCTGACGTTACATCGAATCTTGTTACCTTCGGTGTCAATTTCAGTTGCAAGGAAAATAATCAACGCAACCTAAGTACTCGAGACGTATCCAATTTAGTAAGTATAAAATTGATGTGACAAGAGTTTTTGTATAAAGAGAATGGATTTGTTCATTGTTTATCTGTTTCGTTAACGGACAAGCTAATATGCACTTATTCTTTTCTCCTATGTGTTTTATTCAGTGTAATGACGTCACGCCTTTTATCCCCGAAGGGATAGGCAGAGGTACATTCAGTGTAATGAATCCAAGTATATTATGATATAGCAGTTTTTAATCCGAACTTTGGCGGTCACTAAGATTTTCGCGATCCGTATTATGAAACTGATTAAAGCAGTAACAATATTACAGCCTTAAAAGAGATCGTCGTTCAAAGAACGGGCTACTTGCGTAGAACAGTTTTAATTTAAAATAAGTGACTTTAAAATGAAAATTTAAGCTTCTTTCCCGTATCGAGCTGCGCTGAACAATGGGTATAGAATCAGTGTATAGATTAGGGATTAGGTAGAGATCGCGAAGCCTTTCGTCTGTCGTCATTCGATGAATATGCTACGTAATGCCGACTTCAAGGACTGCTTCCTTTAGAATATGAACTCCCCTTGAATAGGATGCAATCTGTTCAATCTTGGCCTTCAATTTATGGGAGCAAACTTGGTTTCACGTCGGCTCTGGGTACGTTTGCAGGTATTGATTGCTCTACGAGATTACTCTTTTAAAGTTTACTTTAGACTTATTACACCCTCAAGTAGGTAAGTAGGTGCCATGCTAGCTTTGATCACAAGACTCTAGGAACACAGTAAATACGGTTTTATGTTGGAATAAAACTGTCATTTATTGCTTGTAATTATTTATCTTACGTTTGGCAATATTGTAATCTGACAACTGAAGTTTAAATTGTAATCATGGTTGGTTTCGTACTTACTTGGGTAATTTTTGAGACCGTGACCAGGTATAGTTAATAGCACAATGTATGTAAATACTAACATGAATTTTACATCTGTGTACCTTTGGCAAAAGCACAGACAATAGAAGGCAAATGGAACAATAAAAAAAATGTTGTAAATAAATAGGGTTTCAGAAAATTGAATGCAATTACTGGTCCACGTATTTATGTAGTAATTTTAGACTCCGAGCGTTCATGGTGCTACAAACTTGTAATTTCGAATTCGTCACAAACCCATAATAGCGCACAATAATGCAAGCAAGTACAGACCATGTAGGTAGGCTTTAATTGTAACAACTTAATTAACATGGATCAATCGGATGGAACAGTGTTTATTAACAGAGTCCCTTAAAATTAAACGAGATTTAGTTTGACCTTCGGCCTAATATAAAAATACACAAGTCCACTTTGCTCGTTGTCTCGTGGATTTTTCACGACACGTCGCCTCCAACGTTTCAACAAACAAATAAATATTTTTTTATAAAAATAGTCCATCTATAGGTAAAATATTGAGGTGAAATTAAAAGATGGGGTGTTTTTATTTCAAAGTGATTTAAAGATTGTTTCTTGTAGGAAATGTAAGTAAATAATGTAAAGTGTTGCTTTACAGATGTTCCGTCGTGAGCCGCGGATTGTCCTGTTCGCTCTGATAGCGCTTGAAAAGTTTGCTCATACAACTGAGAACAAGTTGACTATAAAGGAGCGTCTCAACAAGGAGGATGACAATCCTCTGCTGCTTCTTGAGCGTCACGCGAACAGTCAGGACTATACCTGGCGCCAGGTCGGATTCTGTGCCAAATGGGCACTCGACAATCTGTGTAAGTAACGCCCCACATCCTTCGTAGCTGGTCGACGGGTGCGGAGTGTCATCGTGAGGATTGAAGACTTGAAAATAAGAATGTGTTTCTTTTAATCAGGCTTTAATACTAGTACTTACAACTTAGTTCGACTGTTCGATATTAAGACCACTTTTTACCTCGTAGGCGGTATATTGTGTTTTCGCAATTGTACAGCTAACATTATTGCGCGGTTTCACCAACAGTGTAGCAACACAAAAACAATTCCCTGAAAAATCCCGAATTGCTCAACTTTGAAATAAAAAGGAACGTCTCTATAGCAACAGACCGTTTGCGTAAGGTAAATGCATTTGTAAGGATTCACGGTTCAAACTTCCCGACCCTTGCATTGTTTCGATTTTACACAAAGGCTATTTTATTCAAAAGGACTTCGAAATTCTAACTAGGCTTATATTTATAAAATAACTAGGCCGCGTAGGCCAACCTCCTCTTTGGAAATAAGCTGAAACGCTCTGCAGGATGGTTCATGGGAATCAATTCTACAAATTATGTCAAATTTTTTGTTTGGCTTAATACTTTTTAACGTTATAAAGTTACGACTTAGGTTTTAGCAAAAGCTGTAAGATTTTTTTCGTCTTTGTAACGAGTTGGTGGATTTTTTTAATCTCCGGAAATCATAGCGAGATTTTTCAATCTTTCGTGCATTGGAATAATAAAATAGATATTGATCTTACGATGCAAGTGTTTGCCCTTCCGGAAGAGTATAGCGTCATTTTTGGGCCTTTACATCAAACAAGTATACTGTCATATGATTTACTAATCTTTCGAAATGGTGGTTACGAGGGAATTTCAACGCTGCGTATAAATTAGATTAAAATTCAGATTTATATTAAAACCACCGACGCTTGTTTCCAGTTACCGTGGAAGGGCGTTGTCTAAGCTACCAGACTGTAGACATGTCAAAGATTCATGCCCTCATGAACACCCAGGATGTCAGCGAATACTTGAAGATATCCAGCGATGGACTGGAGGCCCGTTGTGATTCCTACTCGTTTGAGAGTGTGCGCTGCACCTTCCCGGTAAGGAAACGAAACAAAAGTTATACGAAACCTTCCAAAGTACGGTATTGTTCTCGCTACTTATTCAAAAAAGGTTGCTTAAATTGTTGTACTTTAAGAGGAAATTTTTCCCCTACACAAGTTGAGTTTCGCAATAGATTCCCCCTCTACTATAATTACTTCTAGTAACGTTACTGCGGAACGCGTCTACTGTTACTAAGTACACTGTCGACGTCCTCCGGGGAATGGTGTGATGTGATTTTTCTGCTATTTACCGATCGAGTGGAACTGTGGGCTGCTTTGATTCATATACTCGCTGGTGTTATTTAACTTGTATAATGAAAATAAGTAAAGTATATATTGTCCTTTACCTTGATAATAAAGTTTTGTGAAATGTCTTGCAGGTTAACAGCGGCGTTTGGTATTATGAATGCTTGATCATCACTCCAGGCGTTATGCAGATTGGATGGGCAACCAAGAGCAGCCATTTCCTGAATCATGTCAGTCGACCTATTCTACCGAGATATACGACTAGTTGATAGCGTGTGACTGGGCAACCCGGCGCGGCGCTGACCTAACACTTGACAATTAATACTTAGGTGGCGGTGACACACACACTACTAACACTTTAAAACGAATGCCTTCTACAAATAGCTCTTTACTTTGTGTGTAGGTTGGGTTATGAGATATCCAGTACAGTCTGGAAATTCCCTAGGTATACATAAAACAACACAATTGACCATAAAATTATTTACTGCAATACACTAGTAAAGCAATTGATGGCAATTTAGTTCCGCACACTTGAAATTGCGCTATCATCGTAATGTATCGTGATGCCGCCATTTTCCTTTTTCATGATCATTAGGTAGTCACATGAAATCTAGACTTGTTAGCATTAAACATGTTCAATAGCAGAATAGTTACTGTAATTGAAAAACAACATTGTTGTAGGTATATTTTAAAGTACACAGAACATTGCAGTAAATATATTTATTCGAATTTAAATCAACTGCCTTTGAGAGGGCCTTGGATTAATAATGACACTGATATCGCTAGGACAGTAAGTAATGGATAAGCCATTCTAATTTTAATTCCAATTTCTTAATAATGAAGTTTAAACTTAGATACACATACACTCACACAAATCTACATATACTGCAGTGCTTAAACATGTGATGGAAAGACCACCTTAGATTTTCAATAACCCAGTACAAAAGGACTTGATTATTTACATAAATGAGGAGAGCAAGACAAAACAAATGACAGCATCGCCTTTATAATGAAAATATTGAGATTTTTATATTATCTGAGTGCACGATCGGTCGTGGGTCCGATTCCCGCACGGAACAATTGTGTTGGTACTTGACAACTACTTAGTAAAATCCAATACTTCTTTCAACTGTCAAAAGAGACATTCTTTTGTAGGAAGTTGTATGTTGTGACGTCACGAGTCAAATATTAGGTACCTACTTATTTCTTGAAAATGCGATATTATTACATCATAAAATCAGTTAGTGAAAGTGTGATTACTTTTTTAATTAATACCTAGTGTTGTGATACTTATAAAAGTATTTATTGTTTGTGTGAACAATAAATTATTGCACCGAGTCTTGGTGTGATATGCATGTAAAATTAGGTGTTTGTAAACGCATCCAACATTTGAAATAAAAAAGTGTGGCTTTTTACACTACGCATATAACAAACATTGTTATAAAATGGACGCATTACAATAATATGATACAGAATTTTCCTCATGCCTTTATACAAAAATTACGGTAAATGGTGACCGTCCAATTCATTAATAAAGGCTTTTCCTTAATAAATTACTTATTATAATATAATTATTAGATATTGTTTGCGGTCCCAACTACTATATTAAATAAAAAAGGAATGATGCACATAACGATATTTTTAATAAAAAAGGTTAAGCGTCTACGGTTCTAAATTTCAAATTGCCACAAGTTGTTCTAAATGTCGCCCTTGGCTAACAGGTTGAAGTTAGCAGTTTAAAAAATTCTAATTTATCAAACGACGCTGTTGCTTAGTCCCTTAATGAGTTTTAACAAGACCCGTGGAAAGAATAGAGTGACGAAAGCGTTCTATTCTACCGACACTTTACGTACTAACTACGATGCTGTCATTATTTCCTTACTATTCAATAAAACCTACTTAAAATGGTCTCCTGGGTATATTTAAATGTGTATTTCTAGTCAATAAAGGCGCATCACATGTTACACAGCACTACACAAGCGCCGCGCCCGGCTGTCTAACTAGATATAGCTAAATAGCAAGAGCATTCCCGAACAGAGACTTGAAACTCGAAATACATGTTGAAATTAACAAAATTCTTATTAAACTTAATGTTTAAATGTGATGAATGTAAAGTATTACTGGGTTTTTAAAAATCTCAGTAGTAGCATTGAGTCTGGAAATGTGCCCGGTATATGGGAATAGGCTCACCCCCTATTACATGGGACTCATAACATAAATAGTGAAAAGTGGGTGTTACATTGTACAGTGGCATTAAGTGCCGTAATTGCACATTACCTCCTACCCCTTCTACCTCTGCCTACCCCTTCAGGGATAAAAAGGCGTCATGTTATGTTTAAATGAGACCTAATAATTAAAACACTATTTTAAGAGCGACAATAAACTCTGAAGGCAAATGTCTACTAACACCTGTCTCTAGTGAGAGTTTGACGCGTCATAACGATAATTTGATGCAAAATGTTTCAAATAAACCAATTTCTATGTTAAACCATTTCCTGGATCATTTTGATACCGGGTAAGTACGGGTTATTATGACCAAACTCAAACTCAAAAGCATTTATTTCAATTAAACCATATTTTGGTACTTTTGAAACGTCAACAAATATGAAATAAATAATAGTCTGTCAGTCTGTCCGTCAGTGAAGCTAGGCGCTCGTTCCAAAATGTCGATTCGAGTGGAGAAGAACGAGCAAGAAACTCCATTCGTTACTCTTTTAAAACCCGCTGGGATAACTTTGTAATCCATATCCTATAACTAATAGGAATCCAGGTCGCGTACATTAGATTTTCATTGTATATGTAACTATGGGTCAATATGTGTTAATATGTTAAAAAAAAATTGTGGGACAAACCCGTCGATATCAATTTCGGAATAAATGTTTGTAAATCGATTTACAAGTCTCTGCTTGGACGTGGAACTAGAATAGCTTAATAGTCCACTTTGATACAACTAAGATATTTTGAAGCTATGGTTTTCTTTTAACTGGCCACATTCATCGTTTCTCTCATTTAACCCGTGGTATGCCGAAACGTAGACATAATGTATTTTCTATTCTGTCTCATATACCGATCAAGAGGTTAAGGCTTAACTGCCGACAAAAACTGTTAAACGCTAATTCTCCGCTAGTGGGTCCTCATTATCCGATACCGCATCCAAAGTGTTAACAGCTTGACACAATAAGGTTATAGTGAAATATTTGTGGTAGTTAGCAGTAGAATCGATTACATTTGTTTGAATCACTCACCGATCAAAACACGATGAAAAGTTATATAATTTATTAAAACGATGTTGCTATATTGTACCTACTTAATCCAGACCATAATAAACACAACACTATGTTGTTTAAAGTTTAATTAATTTGTATATAATGTGACACATTTGATAAAAACATAATGCCGCGACCGCGCACGCTGCTCATGAGGAAGAACCCCTCTGTGGTTCGAAACTAGTAGAGCTTTTCTCAGTAAATTCACGTGTTTAACCCGATATTTTAGTTAATTTAGTATGTCTACGATAGTTATTATAAAAACAAAACATAATGTATAACATTTGAGGAAACTTTAAAACACTCCTAATTTATATATTAATCTCTATACGTATAAAGATGCATTTGGCCAGTTTCATGAGAGTACATCTAGCAGCCGTATTAAAGCCAAGGAGGACTACAATAATAAGTTTAATATAAATAAATAAAAATAATAACAGCTCGATATGACAACAACAGTAATATATCAATTGTTTATTTGAGTTCATCAAGAGCTATTTTTACACAAACCATGCTATTTCTCCTTGCGCTGTCATTTTTGAGATGGACAAATTAACAACTAACTGTCCTCCTAACATTTTGAGCATTTTGAGAGCCTCTGTAAATATAACATACGCAACAAAAAGCATGATTCTTCAGATTTCTAAATAACGCTTACATCGTCTCGTGGCATTTCGTATTTTTTTATTTAATTGCTACAAGCATTTTGATGGCTGCTAGATCGTTATTCCAATTTGCCTACAGACTTATTTACAGTCAAGCGATACAGAGTGAATTTTTGTAACCGGGTATAGAGATTATAATAGTATTTTAGTACAAAACTTCATTCCGTGTTGAAAAATGAACAAAAATTAACCCTGTATAAAAGAGTGATGCAAGTCTCGCCTGGGAACTAAAGTTTGTGTCGAACGGAGTGAATCTAATCTATGAAAGAAGCGTTGCGTCCAAGCTGTATGCAAGGGTGTGTCTCATATTCTGAATGACGACGTGTGGCAAGTGTCCAAACAAATAATGTAAGTTTGTAGGCATTTTTCGAAAACCATAGCTTCCTAAATAGTCAATGACACGCTTTCGTGACTGAACTGCGATTAACAGTCTTATGCTTGTCGGCATTAGGCCGAGTTTTCCTTAGGAAAGTCTAGTGTTCTACGACCGATTTACTTACTGCGGTTCGCTTGCTTGCCTACAGTTTTGTGAGTAGTTTTCTGCAGTTTAAGAATGAGATACTTGAGTCGCGTGTCGTTGACATTATTTGTAGGAGTCGACGCGCCGAAGGACACGCAAGCACGTTATAGCCAAGTCTTTAATTCCACTTTTTTGCGCTGTTCAATTCTTGCTGACGCTTGCATACTTGGCAGTGAATGTGTGCCCTAACAACCCAACTATATGAAAATTTGTTAAGAATGTCATCGTTTTAAATTTTGAAGAGGCATATAAATGCTGGTCAGAATGGTTCTTTTTGTCACGATGACCAGTGCAATATTATACATTTATAGGGGTATAAACATAATACAGAAGCTAGGATAAAACCAAACTTATTAGTAGTCTAATTAAACAATCGCAATGACACGTAAATATAATTATGAAATATTAAATCTATTGGGTGTTGTCGGCGCTTTACACATAAGATAGTTTGTAAAAATTTTGACTTGTCATTAACACATTCAATAAAATGCAGATTAGCCTTTCCGAGAACGGCAAGATAACGAAGGTTAGGCTATAACCTAAGGATGTGTTAATGATTATATTTAACACAACAATGTTTTTCAAATTGGAAAATGTGTTATTTGCTTGGCATACACTACTCTTCCACCGTAGTGGTCAGACATTTGGTCTTTAGTATAGTTGGTGGAATTGTAAAGCACATTGAAAAACATTGCACTACGCTACCTCACTCGTTAACAATTGGATGGCACTCGTCAAAGGTATGGGTTACATGTTGTCAAAGTCTTCAACATTGTAACTGCCGTCTACACAGAGTGACGTGGCGACAACCAGCAATGTAGAAGATAGATATAATTGTAACTATTACCTCCAGTACGGTGCAAAACTTTTGTTGAGCACTTTTTTTGTTTAAAATTAGTAACATAATTTGCTTTTATTAGCTCCAGATGTCACTAGTGAGACATGTTTGTACATTTAGCACGCCACATCCTACACAACACACAACACACGTAGTATCTCTTCTAGTTTACATGACACTTCAATTTGTATCATCTTCCTTTCTCATTCTTACACGGCTTTTGATGTTTTCAAAATAAATGTTGTCAGACCGCGAACTTGCCGTTTTGTGAAATTATATTCTTAGAATGGCATTTGTGTCTTTTCGTCCGAAATTTGAGTTAGACATATGAAAGAGATATCATGATGATATGACAGGTAAGTCAGAATATCAAAATTGGCGAAACAAGAAAACATTTGTATCAAATCGAGAGTATTTATTTTGAAAAGGTGAGCACGGATTTGTATTCTTATAAGGGTATGACAACTTTGTACTGGTACGTCTAATATCAAAGAAATCTCCAATCAAGCATATAAAACGCACGAAGCCAGTGAACAGTACACTGATCAAAGATTAACGGACATCTGAGATACCACACAAGAAAGTTTGACATCAAAGCAGATCCAACTCTTTAAGAACATGTTACGAAGACAGAAGTCAAATATGACAATGTTGTTGTCTGACTTGAAATGAAATAGAATGAGGACCAAATGGAAATATTTAGACACATTTGTTTATTTCCCAAAAACGGCAATTTCACGTTAAATGTTATAAATGTTAGCTTGGCATTTAGTTGTCATGCCTGTGTCCTGTATTAAAAAATAAACTTAATGATTTTGTATTAAAATATGTTATGAATATATATTTCTAAGAAACATCTATGGCTATAGTAAATGGACTAGTTTACCAGTTGTGTGAGGTCTTATTTACTGTAAACACAACCATAGAAATGTGATAGAACATTAAAAACATAATAATATAGGAGACAGGCAAGAGGGACTAAACTAATTTCTACGGAAAACTTACTACTTTAAATCTGTTTACTAACAAACATAAATAACTTAGCCTTTGCTGTCCAGAGCTGGCGAACGTTCAAATGAGTTTAGCCCAATTATGTATTCATTTATTGACAGTGCGTTTTGTGTGCAGTATTAAACATTTATAAAAAAATAAATAACTTAACATAACGGTAACAAAATTATGGTTGAACTAAAATAGGAACATATTTTGTGGCTACAATCAATAGTTAAATTTTAATTCTACTGTAAAGTGTAAAGCCAATCGGTACATTTAATTTTAAAACGATTTTTGTCTAAGTTTTTTAAATAATTTTGCATTACGGGCGTAATTATATGAAATGTTTGAAGTAAATGGCGAAAAATGAACATTTAAGTATGCATACAACTGCTTAGTTTAAGCCAGTTGCCATATGCACGCACAACGCGCTTTCAACTCCACACTGGTCTCTTTTTGTTTTTATTTTAAACAAAACACACTACATTTGAAGAAAGCTAGTAAAATTCAACTTTAGCTATAGTATCACATTAACCGCCTATAGGTGGCCATTGCTGACCATAGGCCTCTTTCTCGCACGGAGGTTTGAGCATTAATCACCATGCTTGCTCAATGCGGGTTGGCAATTTCAAATTTTTTCCTTCACCGTTTGTCAGTGATGTCTAGATAGTCTTAGTATGAAATATATTAAATAACATACTTTTGTACTATGAGTATTGTTCCAAACAATTAAGTTGTGGTTTTGGACTAATTATAACACTGATATTTTAATTGAAATGTTAGAAGACAATTTTTTCATAATTATTTTACTGCTTACACTGTATATACATCTAGTTATAAATGGGTAGAAGATTTACTCCTAATTATATGCTGGCTTCATTTCTTCATTTGTTATAACTAAATATTTTGGGTACAGTTATTGCTATTATAAAATATGACTTACACAACAAACACTCTTATTTTTTGTTAAAGACCAGTATCGATGTTAAATGTTGTGTACCCAAACCATCATATATTAACAAACTATTAATACAATCGTTTTTAATACAGGAGGGTTATGGGATTGGAGACGACATATACTCTCTGTCGTACGACGGTTGCCGTCGCTTGATATGGCATGGGGCCAAGCCAACTCCTGTGCCTGACGTGCAAGGATGGCGCCCTGGAGACATAGTGGGGTGCCTCATTGATATGGATGCGGAAGAAGCAATCTTTACAGTGAATGGAGTCCACGTCCGAACTTGCACGCACCTCTTTGAAGTGTCTCGGTATTTATATTTTTAATTTTTAAGGCTTTCTTTGCTTAGCTTGGATGATAGTTTATTTATTGTATTTATACCCATGGCGCGTTTTAAATCTGGTGAACGTGAAAAATTGTTGGCGATACTCGCCGTTTCATTTATGGCGTCCGCTCATTATCGTATATCAGTCGTCAAAGAGTGACGTAAGTAAGTAATACATAATTAGCGACAATATTTGTCTGATTCTCAATGAGGCTCTGGATGCTTAAAACGTTACAATATTCAAATTGTAATGTATTTTTCAATCCAATGCATAAATGAAACTGAAAGTTTTAAAACTACAACATTAATATAGTTCAGAGATTTTAATTTTTCGAATTTACAAATAGATTTGGTTGGATTTACAGTATAAATTCGCTTTTTTGACATGGGGTATCTATAATGTTTACTGTACCAGCTTTCAATCTTGAAATAATAGTCTTGGATTGGTTCTTATTTAACTGTTTACTACTGAATTATGGACTGTATTATATACTGTTAGAGGTCACTACTGAATTTTGGGCATCTTCTACTAAAGAGGAGTTAGTCATAATATCCTTATTTGCCAGGTGGGTTGGAAATTGTAATTTAAAAGGTTTATCAGAGAACATTGCTACGGACAGCACATTATATTTGTAGTTATATTATTATACCCTTAGGCCGAGTAGAGGTAGTGGCAACTGTTTTCTACACACAGCAAGCTTCTATAATGCAAATTACTGACTGCTGCTTTTATTACTAACGCTATGGGGGTTTGCAATGGCTTTATTATTTTGTTTTAGTTCTAATAATGTTGACCTTAAACAACCCAGTCAAGGGTTCTTCGCTGCGGCTTCGTTCATGGCGTTCCAGCAATGCCGATTCAACTTCGGCGTTGAGCACTTCCGTTACCCTCCTAACCGCCCATTCAAGATCTTTAATGAGCACGGATCTCTATCCGATGAACAGAAAAGGGTAAGTATAATAACATATTATCTTGCATAAATTATATAATTCGTTGATAACTGGGGTACGTTCCTCCATTTTATCTCAACGCATAAGTAGGCATACTTTTTGCGAATTTACATAAGCATATATCATCATTTATGATTTAAAAAATCCCTTAATGGCGAAAATCAAAACTATAGAAGTCAATTAACTATAGAAATGAAGAGGCTCCTCTTCATTCGAATAAAATTCTCAATTTAATATATTTAAAAATTAAAAGTAGGTAAAAATTGCAGTTGCTATTTCTGTTTATGGATTCATTGTGTCGTTTAGGTTGTGCCTCGCCGCATCACCCTGGAGCTGCTCCGCGCCACTGCCGTAAAGGAGAACGCTTGCACCTTGTGCTTCGACGCCGACTCTTGCTGCATTCTGGAACCCTGCCAGCATAGGTACCTACCATCAACTAATACATACCTACAGACGTATTGTCACGCCTGTCTCCCATGACAACGGAATGCCAAATAACACGATTATGGTACACCTCCTTTTGCTTCATCTACATTTATCAATCTCCTTCATGCGTACTCGTCGATTAAGGTCTACTTACTAGTATTTTGCTATACATAAAATAATGAATAGTTTATCTATTTCATTTACTAACTTGTCATTTTATGTGAAGTTTGAAGGTTTGTGTGTTATAGTCGAATTATAATTTGTTGTTGCATTTTATAGGAATTAGTGTTAATTGCTCCAACAGATATTGACATGATATTGTACTGTTCCAGGGGCTTCTGCTCGGTCTGCACTTCTCAGCTGAAGGAGTGCCCGATGTGCCGCGCCGCCATCTTGCGGATCCGTATGGAGAGCACATGACATGGGGACGCGGACGCGTCGTCCAGCAGCGAGCTGACCAACACGGTCACGTTCAAGGGCTCGCCGACGCCGCCCTTCAACCGCCGCATGAGAAACCCGCCAACGCCGGCCGGGTCATCGTCGTCCTCCAACCTGAGCTCCGTCTGGTCTCCCTCCATTCCAGCTTCCGACTACCCTAGCGATGAATGCGACATTGCATATGTAAGATATCTCTAGGCCACTGGCTGCTTGTCACACGTGCCTATACTATATGTGTGTTGTTGTCCCTCTCTGTCCTAGCCAGCATCGAGTACATAACCTTGTAGTCGACTATTGACCCACTAATAAATGATGACTCAAATATATCTTGATTTATCTAACAATTGTTTGATTTTACAGTTGTTATGAAGTGACGTAACAGTCGGTAGATAATGTAATATAATTAATTTAGGCGTAAACTATACCGACTGTGAATCATACTTAACTATATAAATTGGTATATTTTGTTACAAATATATATTTTTTACATTTGATCTCATTTTTCCATGCACATCTCTATATTAGCGATGTGTGTCATACTATATTCTACCACTCATTTCTCCGTCCACTTTTTCTTACTGTCATTCTTATTACCATGGCGCTTGAGTCACCAGTTGTATAAAAATGTTCAACAAAAGATATTTCAATAATATCATCTTGACAATTTACTTTATCAACAAGAAGAGTATTCTTTGCATTCATCTATTTAGTTATGTACTCGATGTCAAAAACGAATGAATATATAGATTTGAATGGTCTTACAAAATGTTTAGTGGATACATAACTACAAACAGCGTCGTGTATAGACGGATACACAAATAGTCAATGATACTATTATCTCACTTCCCGTGTCACCCGTGTGTATCTCGACATCCTATCAACAAACGGAATTAGATTCTACTGCTGGAGCTTACCACTTCTTTACAACGTATTTTGTTAAATATACAGTAAAACCGTCTCCATTTAAAAGTAATTCTTTGTAAGAAATGTCCTAATTTGCAAGACCATAAGGAATCATTGTTCATTTGTCCATTGTCACTTTCAATTATTTTCGTGTCAGTGTATTCGTGTTGGTGGTAGTAAGTAAGTCATTACAGTTCAAATTGTCTAGCGTAGTATGTGCTACGGTTACCGTATACTAAGTTTTTGTAGAATAGTTAACAATATTAACCGTTGCACGTACTCCAATAGTGCTTGTTACCCCGCCGATCTCAGAATGTCGTCCCGTGTTATAGCTTGTCACGCAAACGAAAGAAATTATCACTTTTTTAACACGAAGCAATCAATCAACATTATATAGTCAATCTCCAGCACATTATTACCTTTTTTCTCATAATCATTAGTTGACGCATTCGAAACGTAGGTCTCATTAACTAGATTACTAGATGTTGTTGTTCGAGAATGGTATAAATTCTTAATAATAGTTTTCAAAAGCGAATAGCATTTTATAGACTGATAATTGGATAATAACTTAGAAATTGAAAGTGTCAGTTATTAATTAGAAAATACGTATTTGTTTTCTGCTATAACTTGACACGGTTGTGTTAATAAATAGAAGATTTTAATTAACATTGTATCCAGTGTGTATCTACTGTAACAATATTGTCTAAGCTTACAGTCTAGCGCATCTAATGACGCAAAAAGCGAAGTAAATCCCCTTACGTTAATATATTATTCCCGATTATAATTCAACTGATATAAACTTTCAGCGCAACTACATACGTGCATAAAACATGAAGATTTCGCTTGCGTGATGTGCGGCTATAACACATTTAATGTACGTACCCAAGTTACGTCGCAGCATTTATTGCCATAATTGTTGTGAAGTAGTTATTTGTATCTATGTGTGTCTTACCCTTCACACTAGTAGCAGCAACCCTTCTCAGCGCACGTTGTGTCTTGCAGGTATTCTTATATATGTGTAATTGTGATTATTCTGTGATTGAATATTAATTAATAAATGAAGTAAACTGTTCACTGTCTTAGACGATATGACTTCACATTGACGTTTGGCGTTAGCATTAAACTTGTACAAAATATAATAATAATAATAAAGTTAAATAATAATTTTACCGGAAATATATAATTAAGGATGGGACGGTTGACATATGTCGAGACATATTATTTCTGGTTGTGGTCGTTTGGCTAACTGTGAATATTTGCATAGGCATAATCAAGTAGCCAAGATTATCCATCAGCAACTTGCTTTACACTATCGACTTGTTGAATCTGAGGTACCGTACTACAAGTATGTGCCCGACCCAGTTCTGGAAAATTACCATATCATATTGTACTGGGACCGGTCTATCATTACTGACAGGACTATTGTAGCCAATAAACCTGACATAGTAGTGATAGACCGTCAAGTACGCCACACGATGATAATCGATGTCACCATTCCCCATGACGAGAACCTCGTGAAAGCTGAGAAAGATAAACAAATAAAATATCTAGACTTAGCTCACGAGGTTGTCGACATGTGGAGTGTGGATTCGGTAGTTGCGTCCTAACAGCTAATAAAGACTTTCGAATTTTAAATTGATTTCTTCATGTTATATTTCGATATGCTCTGTCCAAGTAAGTCCTACGTAACCTAGGTATCTTACTGTACGTCTCCGCCGAGTCCGCGGGTCTGCCCCAGATAGGCCCTATGTGACCCGCGTTGCGCGCTAATATATCTAAATCGAGAGCTATTCCTCGAAGCCGCAATCGTGCAGACCTGGGTGATACCACTGAACAGGCCTGCCGACATTGACAGGAAGCGAGACGGCTCCAGGACGCCATTCAGAATTTGTGACGTGGCGATGGTCCGGCCAGCGCAAGCTCCAGAAATACTCGTCTGACGCTTGCACAAGTGGCTAGTCTACGCAGTTCGTGCACAACTGCGCGATTTCGGTATACCAGGCACCGCAGGCTTCATATCCGTCCTCCACCTCCAGGTGGCGCATTCCTATCAAAGGATCCAGGAAACCTGACAAACAATATTCCTTCTTCTCTAGGTATTCGTAATTATGTCCTTTACTTTTATGACTAGCATCATTCTGTGTAGCAGATACTTCTCAAAAATGTTTGACATATAAGCAAAAGACTTATTGGCCTGTAGGATGTCAGTTAGGTTAAATATGAATACTTCATACATACTAGATTTCCAACAACTTTCATGTTCAACACGTTCTGTGTTACTGTTCATATAATGTTAGTTTGGGATGTCTAATTCGAATTTCAGACTGTCAAAACGGAAACTATGAATTCGGAGTAGGTATTTCCTAGACGAATTGTCGTGCCATGACTCTCGAGGTACGTCTCCTGGGTCCGAGCTTTAATTTGAGTGGCGGCTCCTACTCGCTACTGTCGTCCTTCATCATAGGCTTTTGTGCCTTTTTTAGAGAAATACCCGCCACGGGTATTTCCCGGCACCCCTCCGGACGAACCGCTCAGGTGTCCGTGACTGCTAGCTCCCATGTCTGTAAGGCATTTCGCTCTCCACAACCTTCGACGCGGTGGGTGCTATTAGCAATGCCCCTGGGAATTTGCCCCAGAACCCAAATAATTATATCAAAAAAAGAAATAAAGAACATAATTATTACTAACGTTACCAGATACAATATCAATAGGTAATAGTTAGCAGGGACTTAGTCTGCTGCACTAATTTCCACATTAATGGACAATCATGTCTATCGGCTATGGCACTCGGGATACTGTGGCGACATCCACGCAGGCGACTGTTGAACGATGCGGTTTTTTAGCACCATAAATCAGTGAATCCATCGGTAAGAGCATCAGCAAACATTGCTGACGCACTACAGAAACATGGAAGCTGCAAAAGCGCCATGAAGGCATTGCTATACTAGATCTGCAGAGCATTGTACGCTCTCTGGGTGATGTCAACATCATCCCTTAAATCATTATTGATAATGATACCATTATAATTACTATACTATACGAATCATTATTATTTATCGCATTGTTATACTAAAGACAATTCGCTATCAGTTAATGTCAAATCACGCCATCTGTCGGTAAGCCATGCAACTTCGCCAGCGAACAGTTCACTGAGCTTTGTAACTCCCTACAATTGTGTGCTACAGTTCCCCCAAAATACTCCTTTTGCCACCAAACCGTTTTCATTACTTTAAGTTAAGTATGTATTTTTAGTTAAATTCTAAGTCATATACATTTGTGGCCCATAGCTCTTTGTCAGATATTTGTATGTGTTCCAATGTGTGTTGACGTGACGTGTTACCCGTTACTATTTAGCTTTAGACTCCCGTGCAAGTTGCACTGACTGATTTAATTCTATTAAGTTTAATTCTAACAGGACTTTACACGAGCCTCTAGTTAGGTATAAGATTTAAATTGTAATTGCTAATATATACACGTAAAATGCACTAGCATTTACATATCGATTCGTAGATAATATATTAATTAGTATGTAATGTTCTACGTAATATAAAACAAAGGTTTCTACTCAGGAAACCAATGAGCCTTAAGATTTCCATTCGTATGTAGTCCCATTTAATTTAAATTCAATTTACTATGTGTAATGACGGATTTCAAGGCCCAATTCGTGCTGAGACGAATATCAATCAAACGGCACCATCTGCTAATTCTGTTATTAATTTTATATTTTTTATTTTGCTTTTATTGGTTCATTTTATAAGTTTACCATCGTAAACCCTCCATTGTTACCTCTCAATATGAATGTATTGTATGTAAATCGATGTGACCGTACAAAATACAGTAGAACGTTAGCTTGGCGCATAAATGTTTGCATGAGTGTTTCTAATCTTATTAATATACTTAAAGAAAACATTAATGTTCAGGTCGTTCTTGAGTACCGTGAGGGATAAGGTCCGTGCGTCAACGTGGAGAATACTACCTTTTATCTTTTGATGTTGTTGTCTTCGTAGAGACATGTAACGTGTAGTTAAAATGTTTGAAGCCCACCTTAGGTGGGCCTGTCTATGTTTCAATGATAACCA